CCATGACTAACAGGGTGAGAAGGGTGGAAAGATAATCCCAGGTCAAAGGAGAGCCTCTCACACTTCCTTATAGCCTTCTATTGGGTCACTGGAAAAGTCATGACACATTTTTGCATAGAAAAGTGTAAAAAATTACATTGAGATTTTTCTGACAACCTTATATTTCCAAGGGTTTCTATATCTAAATGAGATTGCATCATTTCTCATCTGAGATCCAAGAGAGTTCATTTGAATATGTCCTTTTCTGATGTCACTTTACTGAATAAATGGCTCTAATTCATCAAATATGCATTGATAATGAACTGTAATTTAACTTTTGAAAAAGGAAAACATATTCCTTACTGGTTAGAGTTTAAGTTTGACTGATCTTATAAAAACTCATTATGATAATGATTTTTTTTTAATGTGTATTGAAACTCGACTGGAGACTGAAAGGCATCAGAAGCCAGGACTCCTTCTAAGTTATTTGCCCTCTCCATCCCTAGAGAGGAGCCCCCATCCTCATGGTCCCAAATGTCCCCAGTCCTATCAGAAGCCCAGACTGAAGGAAAGAGAAAGATGGGAATATAATGATCCACTCCTCCTATCAGTCCTCTGACAGACCCAGGAGTTACTTGTTACACTTCTCACCTATTGACCAAGATCAAATGCTGTCATCCAGTCTCCAGGGAGACTCAGATGGAGAAAGTTTTCTGCTTTAAATGTATCTGATTATCTGACAGAAAAAGTCAATGAACATTGCAGAAGACTAGCAGAATCGACAGCCCTTGTGAATCACTCACATTCCACACTCACATGAAGATTTTTCAGGAGCTCCTCAGAAATAGTGAATGATGAGCAGAGAATGGTGGGAAAGCCTTAGACAGGGATCCAGGAGACCAGGGGCTGCTACTGGGCATCTCCTCATGGTGTGGTCACTGTAAAATCTGTGTGACTGTTTAGCCTCCGTTTATTGCTGTGTTGAACAGTACGGAGCACTCACATTCCACACTCACATGAAGATTTTTCAGGAGCTCCTCAGAAATAGTGAATGATGAGCAGAGAATGGTGGGAAAGCCTTAGACAGGGATCCAGGAGACCAGGGGCTGCTACTGGGCATCTCCTCATGGTGTGGTCACTGTAAAATCTGTGTGACTGTTTAGCCTCCGTTTATTGCTGTGTTGAACAGTACGGAGCAACGGTTGCTGTTTAGCCTCCATTTATTGCTGTGTTGAACAGGACGGAGCGGTTGATCTTTAAGGAATACATCTTAAATAGTGGAGAAACAATAGTGAACAGAACAGATGAGCCTTAGTTCCTATGGAGCTTCAAGCTTGATGAGGATAAGGAATAGATGACACCTTCAAAATGAAATACAAACTGTTAATGTTCTGAGTAGGATAACAGGTTCCAGTCCTCGTTTTCTGGACACCCAGTGTTGTGGGGGCTTGTCTCTCTAAGAGAGCTCGTGATATATGCATACAAAGTTGGTCCCTCACTGAACCTCCATAAGGGGATGTGTCCTCTTTCCACTTGGGGGTCTTGGCTGGAGTGAGTCCTCTAGATTTCTAAGAGAAGGTTGACTTTCTGAGGCTGGTAAGGGTCCCTGAATTCTGCTCTCTATTCCTAATTGACTTCCAGCCACCTCCCTTTTATTTCGAATTTCGTTGGGTTCTCTTCCACGCTGTATATGGAGTTTATACTAGGATTTTTGCTGGGGTGGTGGAGGAGTTTTTCACCCGGCATTTTGTCTGCCATCTTGGATTTGAAAATTTCACCTCTGTTTTCCTCCCTATCCATATGTAACCAACACACCATCGTAGTGGGATCAAAGAGCCAGATCGAAGAGTGGGCACTGAAGCCTTTTAGGTTCAAAGCCACACCGTGCATTCAAGGAGCTAATTTTTCTTTCTATGTTCCAGTTCCATTCTCTTATAAATGGGGATAATACTATTCCTATTCCACAGTGTTCCTGAGAAAATTTAAAGAGAAAATCCATAATAAACTCTCAATGAGGTATTATTCCCCCAGACGTGAGCTGGTCCTCGTCAAGTTGAAATCCTCATTCTAAACCTTTACATTCCAAGCTCTGCCCTTTAACTCTCTCCCCTCATAGACTCCTCTCACACAAAAGCTTTCACAAGCAAACCAAACTTTGCAGAAGACCTCCCGGGAGAGAGGCAGCAGGTTTACGTTGTAAACTCCACAACACGCTATGCGGTAGCGCTTTAGAGATTTTCCCATACTTTAAATACCTCTTGCAGATGTGCTCAGACCTCGCCTTCACTTAGTGTTTCCTCCTGTTTTGACAAACATCTCAGCTCAGACATAAACGCAACCTCCGCACTATGTACCACAATGTTTTAGGTGCTCAGCAAAACGGTACTGACTCCTTCCGTCAAAGGCACATCGGTGGTCAACTTCAGTTATTTGAGCACACATAAGTAACTCTTCTAAACACACACAGACCTTTCCACAAAAAGAATTAGGGTGAGTGACATCTTCTGCATCTCATTACACCTTTGCATTCTAATGTCCTCGATGGTTTTAGTTTTAGTTTCCCACGTAATCCAAATCTACCACTACTGTTAGGCTTCTCCAACATGTATTCATTCAACCTTTAAATAAATACTGAGGACAGGAAGAGCTGCCTAAAACGTGCTCCTGTTGGGGCCGACAGTGGCGCAGCGGTAAAACATCTTCTGTGAGGCTGGCCCATGTAGGAAGATTTGCAACCAGAAACCTCCCAGAGTGTGGTGGGCACACGTGTTCCCATGATCCATGGGTAGCCGATGCTGGGGAGGAGCTTCAGATCAAGAACCTGTTGGGGTACCAGCAGGTTGCGTGGTGGTTAAGGTGCTGGACACTCTCACATAGTTGACCATGGTTCAAGTCCTGGACCTGGTAGCTTGCTTTCTCAATTCCCCTCTCTCTGTCTCTCCCTGTCAAATTAAAAATAAACAAATGAATAACTTAAAGTTTACAAAAAAGGAACCTGTTGGGTGTGCTACCTTTCTTTCTTACACACTTGTTTGTGAAAGAATTATGTAAATACATTTAAAAAAGAAGTACTCCTGTTTCCCATGGCTGACACACTGAGCCATTTCTAGCCCACCAGACCCAGCCATCCTCACACCTGCCCTAGCAAGAAGTCACATTCTCCCCATGTCCTTTTTTTTACTAAGAAAAAGTGAATGTTTAATTATTTTCTGAATATTCATAGAAAAAGCACACAAAAGCAATGTACACAACTATAAATTTAA